TTAAAAAACCTCTTCTGCCTTGGAGAAGGAATTGTCAGCTCTAGTGAAGTCGAGCCAGAGAAAAGTAAGAGGTCTGGAGAAGAGACCTGGGCACCCTCCTCCCTCACAGGGCTGAGCCGCACCTGGGCCCAGTTGCATGAGGGGGTTGACTGAGACTGCTGCGGTCCCATCTCGTGGAGTGACAGCTTGATGCTCTCTCCATGTCGACCTGAGGCTCAGCTGCAGGGCTTCCTGTACATTGCTAAGTCCAGGACCTGTAGAGTAGCAATCAGTTTAACCTCAAATACAAAAATTTGGATAGGAAAAGGGTCAAAATAATGATAGGCTTCCTGCTGACTGGTTAGATGTTTTCCTGCCTCCTCCAACCACTCATTATCCCACCCTTTGCCTTCCAAAATTCATAAGTAGCAAGCTAGCAGATGTGTTGACGTGAAGAGGTGCCTTAGAATCCAGCCRTTTTCTACCCTGTGATTTGGGGGACAGGTGAGTCCATGACTCCAAGTCTTAGTTTGCTCATCTATGAAAGGGGATTGGCAATGCCGACCACACAGTGGTGTGAGTTACCCTATAAAACTATGCCTATGAAGTGCCTTGCACAGAACCTGCTATGTGAGGTTCCTGTTTATTCCTGGGGCCTAAAGGCTTATGATGAGAGACCACAATACTTGCAATTTCTATAAATCTCTGTAACTAATTTTGGAGCACATCAAACCTGGGGAAAAAAAAACACCTCTTTTTATTAATTTTGCAGAAAATGGAACAGAATTTTCCATTTTTGTGCATTCCTGGTTGCTTTGTCCAGTAGTGGCCCTCTCCCTCCCTCCCTCCCTTTGGAGCAGGAACCACATTTTACATTCCTTTCAGCTGGTACAATTGCAATGCAGTGATTCCCAAGGCAATAGAAGAACTGTCTCTTGCCAGCTCTATTTTTTTCTTTCTTTCTTCTACTTTTTTTTTTCCTTGACAACAAAAAGCTTCTTTTTTCCCTCTAAGAAAAGAAGCGACATCACCCTGTCAATGTTAAATTCTGGCAGAAATGGAGCCACTAAAATAGAAAGAGGAAAAAAAAATATTTTGGCAACAGCCAGGAATAAGAAGTGGCAACAGCCAGGAATAAGAAGTTGCATAGCCTTCCCTGGGTTGTATATATTTCAGGGTTGTGGGTACTCTGTATTCTTGGCAATGGCTGTCTCTGTGGTTGATGCTTATTTCTAAAACCATTCTCTTTTTGGTGCACATGGCAAATTGATTGTACTGACCCCCAGGTCTTACTTAAATCTTTCCCTTTGCCATGTCACTTGTCAGTTCCCCTCATTAAAGATGCAGAGTCTGTTAACTCATCTCTTGCATTTGGGCTTGACCACGTGACTTGCTTTGGACTGAGGTTGTCAGTGGTCATAATGTAAGTAGAAGCTTCAAAATGTGCTGAGGTGGCCAGGTGCCGTGGTGCATTCCTGTAATCCCAACGACCTGGGAGGCAGAGGCAAGAGGAGCACAAGTTCAAAGCCAGCTTCAGCAACATAGTGAGGCTCTAAGCAATTTAGCAAGATCATGCCTCAAAATTAAAAAATAAATAAATAAATAAAAATAAAAAGGGCTGAGGATGTGGCTCAGTGGTAAAGCACCCCTAGGTGAAATCCCCAGCAACAAAAACAAACCAGTGAAAAAGGGTTGAAGTGTTTTCACTAGTTCTTTTGGACCCCTGACATTATCATGAAAATATGCAAAAGCCACCTGGCTGGAGGGATGTGAGACACATGGAAGAGAGCTACTTTGTCCAGTCAAGGCCCTCCTGGACCATACTTCCCCTGAACCCAGCTGACCCACAGGCTTGTCAATAAAAATAAGTATTTACTGGTAGAAGCATGAAAGCTTTGTGTTTGTTTGTTACACAGCACTTACTAACTGATACAGTGCATTTGCCCAAGACATTGGTGTGTAGACGTAACCCATGACTTCTGGAACTGAAACAGTGAACGTGTTCTTGTACTTCCAGTCCCACTGATACTGTAGTCAACAGATTCGAGGGTTAGTTCGAAATCATGCTAGGCAAACTGCCCTTCAATATTTCTCTACATATACCCTACACATGTCTGCTTCTCCCTCTCTGCACTCTCTGTCTCCCTCCTGGGATAGCCTTTCCTCTCCTCCCTACCTATTTGAATAGTACCAAATCCTAAAACTAGGTTTCTCTAAATGCTCTTTAGGGATTTCTAGCCTGGACAGCGAATTGGCCACAGGACACATGCTGTTTTATATGGCTACTGTGCCTTATCTACAGTTGTTTATTAAACTAGATTCCAAGTTCCTGAGGGCAGAACCCTTCCTGCACTTCTATCCTCCACATCTTGCACGGAACCATAGGAAAGTGCAGAGTTTTTCCGCTAAAGACTTTAACACGGGTAGGTTAACTGGTATTAGGGGACTGAGGGTGATCATTCCTAATGAATAGAACCAGAGGAAAGGAGGGATGGCTTGGTGGGTGGGTGTGTAGATGGATGGCAGAAGGAACGTGTTTCAATCAGCTGTTTCGCTACTGGGACTGAAAGACAGCACGACTGTAGAGGAGGAAGAGTTTATTTGAGGGCTCATGGTTTCGGGGGTCTCAATCCACAGAAGGCCAGCTCCGTTCTTTGGGGCTCAAGGTGAGGCTGAACATCATGGTGGAAGAGTGTGACAGAGGGAAGCAGTTCACGTCATGGTGATCAGGAAGCAAAGACAGTCTCCACTCAGGAGATACAAAATATATACACCCCATAGCCACGCCCCCAATGAACCATTTCCTCCAGGCCACACCCACCTGCTTTCAATTACTGTTCAATTCATCCCATCAGGGATTATTAATTCACTGATCAGGCTAAAGCTATAACCCAATCATTTCTCCTCCAAACCTTCTTGCATTGTCTCACACGTGAACTTTGGGGGACACCACATCTAAACCTTAACAGAAAGAGTGAATGAAGGTAGAAGCTTCTGGACCTAAGTGTGTACACGGCTACCCTCGTCCACTATAGTTCCCACTGAGAAAACAAATTCTACCTTAAAACGCCACCTTTGCCCTGAAGGTTTTCCTGCCCTTCYGTTCGTTCACCCTGAATTAGACCCTCTCCCTCTCTCGAATGTCCATATCTCTCTGTCTCCCAGGAGGCTTCATCTAATTCCTTTGTGTGACAATCAGCCATGTTCCTCTTTCCTACTCACCTCCACCAAACTCCTCCATCACAAACTCATTGCTATGAAAGGCCCTGCTTTAATCCCGGATGGATCTCTAGCACTTTAACTTCTTTYCTACGGAGTACTCAGTAAGTATTTGGTTGTTTTATCTATCTCTCTGTCRTTGTTTTAAATGCCCTAATTCAGGCCTTCATCACTGCTCAGRCAAACAATTACAAAAATCTTGTAACTAAGGCTGGGGTTGTGGCTCAGTGGTAGAGCGCTCTCCTCGCAGTGTGAAGCACTGGGTTCGATCCTCAGCACCACATAAAAATAAATTCATTARATAAAGCTATTGTGTCCATCGATAATTTAAAAATATATTTTGAAAAAAAAGCATGTAACTGGCCTTCTTGCTTATAACCCTGTCTCCTTCCCTCACCTTTCAACCAGTTAGAAATACACAAGTATGGAATTCCATTTTAAAAGAAAATCTGACCMGACTATATTCTTAATAGCCCCCACACACATTTTTTTAAAGACAGAAGCCAAGCTCTTGGGCCTGGCATACAAAGGCCACTAAGCTCTGCCCCAGCCAAGCTATACAGACTCTGTCCTTCCACCCCAGCCTCACACTTCAATCTACTTCAACCAAAAGACACAGCCTGTGTGTCAYTATCCACACTGGACAGTTTCTCTCCAACTGTCCCTTGCCCTGCTTCTCCCTGGTCCAGTCTCCTTTGGTCCAGTCTCATCCATCTGCCTTCCCTCGTACCCACCAACTTCCCCACTCTTCCGCCACATTGGTTGTTGTACATTGCATTGTGATATTTGATTAAATGGGAGTCTCCTGACCATAAAAGYGTGGTTTCGAACATCCATCTTTGTATGAGCAAACCCTACCTCAGCACCCAGAACACAGGAGGACTAAAAAAAAAAAATCCCTGGCTGACCGGCTTGCTGCATGGATGGATGGATAGAGCAGGGATCTGCCTGAATCTGTGGCCCAAGACAGACGACTTTGTTACTGACCAGTCTAAATCTAGGCTTGCCCAAGGCCCAGAGGCTGAGAMTGATGTCCTCAGTGAGTGCACCCCTTTGTGATCTGGCCTTCTGGAGTAGGAGGCATCGTCCTGGGTTCAGTGCCAGTGGTTACATGTGTCATCCTAGGTGTTGTACCCAAATGTCTATGATGGTGATGTTGGYAGCCAATGTTTGTGAGCACTTACTGTGGACTGGATATTGTTCCAAGTACTTTAAACAAATTAGCTCATTCAGCTCTCTCAGCCATCTCATGGGTGTCCCCATATCACAGGTGAGGGTTTGAGAAGGTGAATTAACTTTTCTAAGGTCCCACAGCTACTAAAAGTAGTTGCAATCCCAGGCAACCTGACCCCAGAACCTTCGTCTTCACACTTCATTTGACCCCAAGTTCATGTTTCCTAGGGATCCTTCTCTTGTTTCCTCTCTCAAGATGGGAGAAGAGGTAAAGGTCAAGAAGAGATCATTTCTGGTTGCTTTTTTTGTCTATTCGGTTTACTTAAATCCCCCCATCATTGCCAAATGATACATGTTTAGCCAGGATGAGTCCCGTCTTATTTTTAATAAGATGGACCCATCTATGTTAATTAACCATGAAGATCATTTTTTTCTTTTACACCCACATCTAAGTGATGAGCAGAGAACCATATGAGATAATCAACTTTGCTTTTTGCAAGCCATTTCTGTTTTTCCGTGGACTGGAAACCACACTGTCACTTCCTCTTTACCTTTGCAGTGAGAGCCTAACAGTCGTCACTCCGCTTCTGAGCGATTTCGAGGGCGCCGCTGGGAGAGGTCTGGTCCAAATGGCACACGTTTTCTACGTGGCACCTTTCTTTCTCTGTCTAAGTAAGTTTCATAATTCTGTGTCTCTAACATTGCAGGAGCCAGTCCAGTGAAGACTACCGGGCGACGGAGCAATTTGGTCTTTACAGGAACAGCTGCTAACTGTGGCACCTGCTTCTGGCATTGGCAATGTGACAGTGCTTGGCCTCCCCAGACATCCTTGAGTTGCAGGGAGTGGTGATGCTTGGTTGAGTCCCATGCACCTGATTCTGTTGGGATTTTTTTTTTAATATATTTTTGTATGTTGCCTGATCTGACAGTTTGGCCCAGGCCTGCCTCTCCTTCTTCTTCATGGGCTGAACATCCCAAGAGAGACTGAGAGCTTTGCTCCCCAGCCTGAGAGGAGAGCTTAAAGCTTGCCTGAAGTTAAGAGTTTGATTAGTTAAATGCACCTTGGACATGTTCCTGGGTGAAAGGGAAGGTGATGAGAGCCAAGCTAAAAGAAGGTTCTGGACTAAAGTGGGCTTTCACTACTGAGAAACTGAGAAGCGGACAGGAAGAGCCACTTGGCTGTGCCCAAGGCCATATGGAAGGTCCTACCTGGTCTGGGAACATCTATTTATACATGTTAGGACAGGGTAGAGGAAAGGAAATTTGGAGGTAGAGGGGAGAATCAGATGAATTGGGCAGGGAATCAAATAGTTCCAGAGACCAAGTAGAACAGGAAGAAGGTGCTTTTTGTGTTCAGGTATCTTTAGCATTTGGTGATGCTTATAGACTCCCCCCCCACCTCAGAATAAATATTTAAATGCATAAAATAAGATGCATAGGATTGTGTAGGAAATCAGCTATATTGGAATAGTTATCAAAATATCTTAATAAGCTGTGGTGTAGTGATTACTTTGTTTCTTTATGTATCATCTAACAAGATCTAGCAATAGATGTATTAACCACCAAACTGCAGAGAAGTGATGACTAAGAATACTATTTTTAATTCGGCTGCCACAACTGGTACGTGATACATGAATATCTGTGATTTGTTGTCTACCTTCATAATTGAAGGAAATACTAAATTTCCTTTACAGATTAATTTAAATAAAGAAGTCGGGTTTTTTTTTCACCCTAGTTCATGGACCCTTTGATCACATCCAGAACTTTTGCTTTGGGAAGACTTGAATGGAGTTAGTACAGGAAACTTCAGGGCTGGGATGATGGGGGTAACTGAACCAAGCTGTAATCAGTGTAACCAAGGTTGTAGCAAAAAATTAAGAGTGCAGCATTTGGCACAAAGGAGTTGCTCCATAAACATTGGTTTAATTGAACCAGACTGATGACTCAAGAGACAACTGGTGAGGACCAGACTTGGGCCCTGAAGGGAGAGAGGCAACCTGCAGGGGAATTTACTAGGACCACATGCTGGGCAATCAATGTCTGCCAGGTTGTTGTGGCAGGTGTTGATGGATAGGTGCCTGCTGGGATCATTCAGGGGCTGGAGTGTTTCTTTTTGTCCTTTTGAGTTGTCTGACTCTGATTCTCAAGTCTATGTGCTTTGCGTGTTTAGATTGTATGTTTGCTTTGTGTAAAGGAGGAAACTAGGTTTACATTGTGCAATAATTCAGAGAATTGCAAATTCTCTCTCACACGCACACTATGTTGCTCCAGTCGTTGCTGCTTTGGGGTATTTATTTATTTATTTATTTTGTAAGCCGCTAGAATATCGAGGGGAAAGAAGGTGGTAATTAAGATTTTAAAAGGGGAAAACTGGAAACTTTTCCTTAATCTACTTAAACAATTGCTTAAACTGGGCTACATATTTATTTCTTCTAAATTCTGACTCCTGTGAGCACTAGTTTTGTATATAACCACAGTTTTTGGATTTATTTGTTTAAAATATTTTATTAGTAGGTGATGGGCCTTTATTTATTTATACACAGTACTGAGGATCAAACTCAGAGCCTCACACATGCTAGGCAAGCACTCTACCACTGAGCCACAACCCCAGCTCTCATAGAACCACCGTTTTTAATGTGAAGAGTACATAAATCAGGAAGTAACTTGAAAAAGTTTTGGAGGTCTGTTATTTGTTATTACAAAAAAATAAAGGGAGAGGCTGGGGGTGTAGCTCAATTGGTAGAGTGCTTGACTTGCATGCACAAGGCCCTCRGTTCAAACCCCAGAACCACAAAAATAAATAAATAAATAGGAGGAAATGAAAGAAATTAAATGATGATAAATCAATCAGTTATGAAGTTTAGCAAATGTAAACTTGTGTGTGTTGTGGTGCTGGGGGTCTAACCCCTAGGGCCTGGCACATGTAAACATGAACTCTACCACTGAGCTACACTGTCAGCTCCTCCATTTATTTTTTTTTCCAATAAATACAAAGATTGACTCACAGTTTAGAATATGGTGCTAGGTAGAGTTAGTGTAATGATGGGTAAGTCCATCCTTGGACTTAGTATTCAGCCTCACCTGCTAGATCCTGCAAATAAAGGACATTTACAGGAGAGAGCTTGGGAGAGGGGCTATTTTTGTCCACTGRGTTTGCATTCATAGAAGAAAAATAAAAGGTTCCACTTAATTATGGATTCAAGCTATCTCAGTCTCTAAGCACATAGGAGTTTTTATTTGTGTAAAGAAAGAGAAGTTGTTTGGCACGTTGACTGTTCCCTAGGTAGGTTTTGTATAAAGTGGAATTATTAGAAATTGCTGCATTTGGGATATCAAAAATAGTTGAATAATGGGCCATTTTGTATTTTTCAAACTAATACTTTCCATTCAAATAATTCTGAAATGRTAATTTGACAAGTCCAGGGACATGTTTTAAAGAAAACCCATATCATTAAGGGAATTCTTGTTGTTTCAAAAGCAAGACTCCTGACGTAGTGTGTCAGTGCCAGGCTCTCTATTCTCAGAAAAGAAACTAGCTACTCTGCAAAGTGACTTAATCCTCTGTCCCTTTAAAGACAAAGTAAGGGGCCATCCCTCCAAGGCATTTCACTGTTAGGAGGAAGAGAAGCATGTCCTTGAAACAGCCACCAAGAGCGTGTTTATAATAAGGTGCTTCAGTGTGTGATCCCAGAGCATAGCCATTGGAATTGATCTCTGACAGTCCTTCCTTTGYACCTCAAACATAGTGGTGCTGTGCTGGGGCTGGGTGGAGCACGTGGTGGTGGARCATGTGCCCAGCATACATGAGGCTCTAGGTTTGATCCCCAACCTCCTCACCTCCCGCCCTGACAAAACCTATGAAATCTCCACACTGTTTCTTTCACTTGTCTGAGAAGGTAGTACATCTTAGACTGTTCCAATGGCAGTACCAAAAATACCAAAAACTGACCTGCTCGTCCACCAGTATTTCTCACGGTTCTGGAGGCTGGGAAGTCCCAGGTGGAGGCCTAGTAGATCTGGAGTCTGATAAGGCTCATTCCCTCAGTAGATACCTTCTGGCTGTGTCCTCACCTGGCACAGAGACTGCCAGCTCCCCAAGTTCTTGTCTAAAGTCACGAATCTCATTCAGAGCCCTCATTACCTCTCTCAAAGGCCCCGCCTCCCATTTAATCCCAATGTATGAATTTCAGAGGACACAAACATTCAGCCCACAGCACGATCATGTTCTTGAGCCCAGGCTCCACTAGGGCCTTACTCCATTCATCTTCCTCTCTGGCCTCCTCCATCTCCACCCMCCTACTGCTGCCTCTGCCCAGAAACAAGCAAAGATGCCAGGATCCTCTCCACCCCTCACCACTTTTCCACCCAACTACACTTCCTGGCTGCCCTTCCAGTTTTCTCTTCCCTTTCTCCATGAATCATCTTGAAGCAGTTTACGTTTCCTGCAGTCACTTCCCACCCTGGAAGAAACTGCTTCTGCTCTATGGAAGCCTCTTACAAAGGTCTCCACGGCGTGCTCCTCGTCCGACTGAAAGGAGTCTCCTCTGCCTTGAGGAACCCCAACCTCCCAGCAGCCTTCCACGGGGCTGACAAGCCCTTTCCTTCTGGAATGTTCTGTTGCCCTTGCTTTCCAAGCCACTGTGTCCTGGCTGCCCTCCAACCTCCTACTATTCCCAAACCTCCTGTAGGTTTTAGTCCTCATCCCATCTTCTGAGACTCTCCAGGATTCTCTCCTGCACCTTCTTCCTTATATTTCATAACGTGTCTCAGTACGTACATGGAACTGACCTGACCTTGACCTATTGCTCAGAACTCTCTCTAGTTACAAACGGGATTTACAGAAGGCAGTGGAAACACAATGGACACAGCCTTGGCTTGTGCTTCAATTGCTTCAAGATGTTTCACGGAGAAAGGTCTGGGTTCAAATTTGATTCGACCGCTTATGCGTTTTGTTTTGTTTTTCACTACGACTTTTTCAAAAAATATATTTCCTAGATGAAGGATAAACTCCTAGTCTTATTAGTCAAGTTCCTCCAGAATATAACCTGATCAATGTTTCCGGTCATTATTCCATGGTCCTTCCACTCATATTCTATAATATAACCAAACTAGACCATCACAGTTTTTTTTTTTAATCCATACTTTTTCTTTGTTCTTGCTTATGCCAGTTCATCTTCTGGAATATTTTAGCCCCATGATCTTGCTCACTTATGAGTTTTGTCATGACTAAATATGGGGACACCACAGAGTTTTGGAAAGGATTAAATGACAAATGTTTTCAATAGGTTGAGTAGACTTTAAATTAAAATACACACACATTCACACTTTCCAAATATTATTTCCAAATGTTTGCTAGATATCCTTCCTATTTATTCCATGGCACTCAACTTTTGGATTTCCAAAAATTACATACATTATCTTCTCCCTCACCCTTGAACATACAATAGCAACAATAGTAACTCTTCTTGATGTCCTTAGTTCTGATGAGTACCATTATTTTCCCAATCTTATAAAACCCAATGCCTTTGATTTCTTCTTACTTCCCACCCCTCTACTAACCCTGATATTTCTTTTCTTTTTTTTTAAAAAAAAATATTTTTAATGGATCTTTTATTTTATTAATTTATTTATCTGTGGTGCCGAGGATCGAGCCCAGGGCCTCACACATGCCAGGCAAGTGCTCTACCACTGAGCCACAACCCCAACCCCTAACCTTGCTATTTCTGAGCTTCCAAAACACTGAAAACTCTGTAGATTTCATCTCCTCACTAACTATATAGTTAGTCCCTTTCTTTTCATCCCTGTACCTTTGTCACCTCTTTCCTGGGCTCTAACTTTCATCATTCTCCACACAAGTAACAGGTTAATTTTTCTGAGACTTTCCAAACACTTTCAGTGGATTCCCCCTTTGAATTCCCCTCATGAATCAAGTCCAGACTTTTAAACATGAGAGTCAATTCCTTCATGCTCTGGATCCAAAATTCCTAGCCAGTCTTACTCCTTCCTATTAACCTTAATGCAACTCTCCCCGCTCCAGTTGATTGCTTCTTATTGTCTGAAAAAGTCTTTTTTTTATTCCTACACATCATCTTGTCATAAAATCTCTTTCACCTAAAAAGCCCCTATCTCCTCCAGACTTTGTTAATCTTTSCAATTCTTCAAAGTCATTTCTAATGCCATAGCTTCCATAAGCCTCATCTACTGCCCTCCCCTAAAAAATGTGATCTGCTTTCTTCAAATGTCTCAAAGTTCTTTTATTAATGTCTTTCTCAAAGAGAGATGACTTCCACCCTGCTTGACTAGATTACACAGTCTAGAAGTCAGAGACTGTTCCAAACTCATCTTCATTTCTTAGCCTCTCGGGCATCAGAAATACTATAAGCGGTTGAATAAATATGTATCGAATTGGCAAAGAAAGCAGTAGAAAATGAAGTGCTGGTTTTCACAATAAAGTTCTCCAAATGTGGTACTCATTTTGCTGATAAGTGATGGAAAATGTTGGACAAGTATTGCCTGGACACCAAAACTGACATCATTTTCCAGAAACATGCCCTGATATAAACAGGTTAGCGGTACCTTAAAACCCACATTWAAAAAWATATATATATGTTTAATGGTAAAATATATAAGAAAAGGTTAATAAGACATAAACATGCAGTTTAGCAAAATAAAAAGTAAAACCAGTGTAATCACAACCTAGGTCAAGAAATAGAACATTGTCAGGACCCTGGAAGTCCCACCCATCTTGCTCTGCTTCCCACCAGATCACAATCTTTCCCTGCACAATCACTTTCCTGATTTTCATGATAACCACCTCCTAGCTTTTCTTAAAAAGCAATTTTAGGACTGGGGCTGTAGCTCAGTGGTAGGGCGCTTGCCTTGCATGCGTGAGGCACTGGGTTTGATCCTCAGCACCACATAAAAATTAAACAAATAAAATAAAGGCATTTTTAAAAAAAAGAAGAATAGTTTTTTAAAAAAGCAATTTTAACCCTTATATGCATCACTAAAAAATACAATGTGGTTTTGCTTGCTTTTAAACTTTGTAATAAACAGTAGAYTCAGTCTGTATGTGACAAAAAGGTTCAAAAGTATCTTGCATCTTTAATCAAATATAGTCATTCATGTTATGTCAAATAGCTATCATTCATTAATTTTTATTTCTGTGTAATATTTCATTTTATGAATGTGCCATAGTGTGTCCATTCTGTTGATGGACATAACCATAGTCCCTTTGCTTGAGGCTAAAATGAACAGTGTGGGTATAAATATTCTCTTACATGAGGCTTAATGAAGAGTGCACACATTTCTCTAAGATGACATTGCTAAAAATGTTTTAAATTGCCTCTGCAGTGTATCTTTTTGGTAAGGAATAATTTAAATTTTTCTCAAGTGGTCTAATTCTGATTTCTAGGTATTACAAAAAGTACAATATATCACATTAATTGGGATTCATGAATAAATTAGTGTATTTTCAATGATTACCGGCAATGTGTATGGTTAGTTGACTGGTTGTGTGCRGTTAGCTTGTTCACCAGTTTCAGATTGAGCATACACATAGTTTTTAGATGACTATGTTAGGTGACCACTTATACTTTCTGCCCATTTTATGTTTTGTAGGTCCCTTCTATCCCTTAGGATTGCTTCCATTTCATCTAAAATTCTTATACTTAGCCTTTACATGGACTCTGCAATGTCATTTTTCCTTTCCTTCACTTTTCCCCCTGTTGGGAGTCACCCTGGGTCCAAAGACTAACTCCCCCATCCCCTGAGAAGAGCCATCCAATGGTGAGCCCTGCTGGCTCACATGATCCTTACCCACCAATCAGACTAGCCCTGCTGGCTCACATGATCCTTACCCACCAATCAGATTAGCCCTGCTGGTGCACATGATCCTTACCCACCAATCAGAAAGCACCCCATGACAACTGTCAAACCATTAAACTGTCATAACTGTCAAACCACCCCTGGCTCTATAAATATACAGAGCTGTTCCTCAATAAACGGGCATTTTCTCCAACAATGAGCCTTGTTCATTCTTTCACCCCCCATTGTAGTCTCCTTTACTCTTTGTGGAGGCACAAAACCAGCAGATGTTCTGCTTCTTGTGAATTCTCTTCTTTTTAAGAACTCTCTATTCTAGGTTGGGGATGTGGCTCAGGGGTAGAGCACTTGCCTAGCATGTATAAGGCCCTAGGTTTGATCCCCAGCATGGGGAGGGGGGGACCTTCTATACCTCTATTAACTCCATGCTACCAGCCATGGCTCCCTTTTGGACCCTTCTGATGCTTTCCACCTTGTTTTCCCTCATCCACTGAACCCTGACCCTAATGAAAGATCTAGCCCACTCTGGTGGCCCCTTTGTCATTGGTCTGTGTTCTTTCTGAAACACAAAAGGAATTGGTCCTTTAATATTAATCATTAATAAAACATACTGGGTGATTTCTGCAAAATGCTAGATTTCAAATTTTTTTTCTAACAAAGTGCTACCATTTAATCCCATTTTCCCCTTTAGACCTAATATTTAAGATTTGTTTCAGTAGAAAACATTCCACAGTGGTCCCAGTTGAAAACTTTTAGTGAGAAAAGAACTAAAATAAATTCCGATCCCAAATCACACTGGACTTTATAGTCATCCATTATGAAGCTTTTCAGTAAAACTACAGCGACTCTCCAGGAACTTAAAAAAACAAAACAAAACTGCAGTGTAGAAGGGAAGTACTACTGCCATTTCACTTTAGATACTAATTTTAGCCCACCTTGCATAAGATCTAAGAACTACAAATATTTTCAACCAACCAGTAGGAAAATGATTGCCCGTGCCAGAGCCACAGACTTTGCCTCTCCAACAACCACTTCTGTGGGAATAACAGRTAACCCTGGAATTTGAGGTTTGAGGAGCTACATGCTGATTGTCCTATAAAATAATATAAAAGTCAATTATCATACACTGATTGCATTTACATTAAAATGAGTGCACTTAGGTAAGCTGAATTTTTTTTATAGATGTGGCCATGTTACAAGGATAAAGCTGAACTTTTTATTTATTTATTTATTTATTTTGGTACCAGGGATTGAAACCTGGAGTGTTTAACCCCTGAGAAACATCTGCAATCCTTTTTTATTTTTTATTTTGAGACAGGGTCTTGCTAAGTTGCTTAGAGTCTCACTAAGCTGCTGAGGCTGGCTTTGAACTTGTGATCCTCCTGCCTCAGCCTGCCAAATCGCTGGGATTATAGGCATGCCMCACCGTGCCCAGCAAAGTTAAACTTTGTAAAAAGACTAGAAATGACTATGGAAGTTAAAGTTATAAAAGAACAATTAACTCATTAAGTCATTCCACTGCTGCTCAGCCTGAAGAAGGTGGTGAACATTCAAGTTGATTATTGCTAATAACCTGCAATCTCATTTACCAGAATCGTAATAAAGAGAACTACATAATGGGGTACATTGGGAACCAGAGCACTAATCTATTTTTATTCCCCRTTCTTTCTCCTACTTGCAAGCTAAGCTCAGCGTCGGCCAGAGGGAAGTAACCGTTCAAAAAGGACCGCTGTATAGAGCTGCAGGTTACCCAGTCAGCATTGGCTGCCATGTCACTGGCCATCAGGGACCTTCCCTGCAGCATTTCCAGTGGTCTGTTTACCTGCTGACAGCCCCGGCCAGGGAAGTCCAGATCATTAGCACCAACGATGACACCTTCTCTTACGCAATGTACGCTCAGCGAGTACGAAACAAGGACATCTATGTGGAGAGGTTGCAGGACAACTCAGTCCTGTTGCACATCTCAAAGCTCCAGATGCAGGACGCTGGCGAGTATGAGTGTCACACTCCAAACACTGATGGAAAATACTATGGAAGTTACAGTGCGAAGACCAACCTAACTGGTAAGCTGTTTGTCCACTTCTGCTAGCCAGCCCCCGAAAAGCCAGTCTTCGCCACCACAAGGCCTTGCAATGTGACAGACTTTATTTTGTTCTGTTTGCTTTGGGAAAAAAAAGTTCCCACCCTCAGATAGTTTGGAGATTTGTTGCAAATAGGTATCTCTTATTCTTAAAAATCATCAATTCAGTTTTCCCAATCTTCTGTGCCATGAAGATTTAGACAGTGCAAGGCCTTCCTGAAGCCTCACCCATAGGKATACATAGGTTAGTAATAGCAATAGCATTCCACAAATCTTTGAGGGTTCCCCACCCCATGTTATCTCTTCTTGGAGATAGAACAGTAAATTGGTAAGAGATCTGGTATTAATATCACAGGTGATCTGTCCATAGCTTGGAAATGATTATTCCCAAATGACTATTCTCCAACACATTCACCCATGGGAGAGGATCCTTGAAACCTTTGCCTGAAATACCAGCACCTTTATTTATATATATATATTTTAAAGTTGTTGATGGACCTTTATTTTATTTATTTATATGTGGTGCCGAGGATCGAACCCAGCGCCTCACGCATACCAGGCAAGTGCGCTACCACTGAGCCACGACTCCAGCCCAATACCAGCACCTTTTTAGCTTAGCAAACACCTACATTTACTTCAGGAGGCAGTGTTATTACCTCTTCCATGGCACCACGTAGTGGGCACTCAGGCAGTGCCCCCTCTGTCATTCCTCTCCATGCTCAATTCACACCACTGTCTTTACCACTCACCCAGGTATGGTAAGGCAACTAGCTCTGTGTACCTACCTTTCCCACCACATTCTGAGCTTCTCAAAAAGAGAATGCTCATCTCAGCTCCTACCACAATGCTGGCATKGAGTAAGATGCTCAACCATATTAAATGACTCAGTCTAAGAGTTGCCTTCAYGTGAGTTTCCGCTGTTCAATTTCATTTGAGGAAGAAAAAAAAAATGGTAGGGTAGTAGGAGAGTTACAGAAACTTAGATAAGGATTGCCTTTTAGCTGTGAATGGTAACTCATAGCAGAGATTTCAGAATTTTTATTTCACAAGAAGCAGGTTAAGGCCCATAGAAATATTGGGTTGTGCCCAAGTTCATGTAGTTAGTTAGATGGACCATCAGGGTCAAAATCTAGGTCTGGTAGCTATCGGTTGGTTTTCCCCTATAAGCTTTCCGTGTGGAGTCGCTAAATTGGTTATAGCTTATGCTAATGACACAAAGCCAGGGTCCATACGGCACTGAGATATTTGCTTTGTCAAGTTCCACAGAAACACAAATGCCAATGTTCCCATTGGCAAGAGGGAAAGCCTAGGGCCAGGAAGAAACCAACCCAGAAGATGCACCCTCCCCACCTACAGAGGCTAATTGGACAAGTATGGGTGCATCAGGTTATCATCATTCCTTTGTTTCTAGTCATTCCAGATACCCTCTCTGCCACCATGAGTTCCCAGACTCTCAGTAAGGAGGAAGGTGAGCCTCTAGAACTTACCTGCGAAGCATCCAAAGCCACAGCTCAACACACTCACCTCTCCATCACCTGGTACCTGATGCAGGAAGGAGGAGGGAGCCAAGCCACCAGCATTATTTCTCTCTCCAGAGATTTTGTCTTGACCCCTGGGCCCTCRTATGCAAAGAGGTTCGCAGCTGGCGATGTGCAGCTCGACAAGCTTGGGACTGCCACCTTCAGACTGTCCATAGGCCATCTCCAGCCCTCAGATCAAGGCAAACTGTTCTGTGAAGCAGCCGAGKGGATCCAGGATCCAGATGAAACCTGGACATTCATCACGAAAAAGGAGACAGATCAAACAACTCTGAGGGTCCAGCCAGCAGGTAATTATCATCYCGGGAAATATGTGAATTCACTAGGACTGAGTATTTATCGAACAACTTTCTATTTTTTTTTTTTTAAATCTTAGGTAGACTGTTCATTGCTTAGCTAGAAAATTTGAACCTTTTTTGTTTTTGTCATCTAGGCAGCATAACTAAAAAGAAGGATGCTCATTTTGGCTTTGTTCATAGGAGATTCTATATGGGACAAGGCATGTTACATGGTTAGATTGAGCCAGGCATGGTGCCACATGCCTGTAATCCCAGTGACTTGGCTAAGGCAGGAGGATCATAAGTTGAGGCCAGCCTGAGCAACTTAATGAGGCCCTGTCTCAAACTGAAAAATAAAAAAGGCTGGGGATGTAGCTCAATGCTAGAGTGCTCCTGAGTTCCAACTCTAGTACCCACTCCCCCAAAAAATATCCCATAAAAGTTAGATTGATTCCACAAGATAGCCGTGGTTTCGGTACCATTTTTGCCAGGCACTTTGTAAGCACGTTATCTACATTATTTAACTGAGTCCTACAATTCACCCTATGAGGTAAGGAGTCATAAAATGAGAAAACTGAAGCCAATGCTAGTGCTTCTCTGAGGTCACCCAGCTGGTTAGCACAGGGGCTGGCATTCAAAGGCAAACCAGTCTCTCTCCAAAGCCCACCAACCACCACAGCTGGGCCTCAATGGTGTTCCAGTTTCCAGCAGGACATCTTGTCTCTGTCGGTGCTAAAATTTCCTTCCACTTGAACCCCTGTCCATGTTGGAACGGCATCACGCCTCATGATCCATTGACATTTTTTGTCAAAGTAGGCAGAAGAAACTTGTCTGTTTTCTGGTCTTTCTATGGAGGCTTTGATCCAATAGAAGGGAGTTGCTAAAACCGTATATATCCATTGCTAAAAGTATTGATCCAGTGGTGGGTCATTGAAGTGCTCTTTCTTTTTTAAGAAGCATGTGGTCCTGTGGAACCACATCATTTAMACTTTCAACTTAGGAAAATTCCACTGGATATTTCAGACCAAAAAAAGAGAGAAAGAAATAAGAGCTGGGGTGTAGCTCAGTGGTTGTGTGCCTACTCAGCATGCATGAGGCCCTGGGTTCAATCCCCAGTGCCCAAATGAAAAGAGAGAGTGAGAGAGAAAGACATCATCATTTAAAATAATCCCACCTATCAAAACAATTTTATTTCTTTAATTTAAAATGCATACTTAACTGTATACTTCATATATCTGTGCCTACTTCTTGCTTCCTAGGGTTGCATTCAGAAAATCATGTATGCTGTTTTGTTGGTTTGTTTGTTTTGTTTTGTTTTTCCTGACTTAAGGAATAGTCATGGGCATGTTTTACTCTAATTTTGGGGGCCCTTGAGGAGCTTACCTGAACTGTAGAGCTGAACCACCACATAAAATGCAGTCTCCGTGGTCTCTGTCCTGGGGTCTCACCTCTGGTTCAGACAGGACAGATGCAGTGGGCCTTCTAAACACCTGCCTTGCTTTGGTTGGCAGGGAGAGATTTTAAAGTCAGCATCACAGCAGAGAGCACGTCTGCCGAAGGGAAGCCCTTGGAGCTGGTCTGCCTGGTGGTGGGCAGTGTGCGGGACCCACAGCTTCAGGGCTTCTGGTTCCTCAATGGGACTGAAATCGCCAGCATTGACGCCCGTGGAGTCCTGGACCTGAGGATGGGCTACAAAGACAGAGCGAGTCAAGGACGGCTCCAGGTTTCCAAGATGAACCCGAAGGCTTTCTCTCTCAAGATCTTCTCTGCGGGCCCAGAGGATGAAGGCGACTACAGTTGTGCAGTGGCAGAGGTGGTGAGAGCTCCGACGGGCTCCTGGCAGGTGCTTCAGAGGGAGCAGTCACCGGTCAGCCACGTGCGCCTGAGGGAGCCAGCAGGTATGTGAAGTCGGGACCGGGCAGACCCCTCCCTTCCTGGGCACAGTGGAGGTCTTCCCTTAGAGTGGGATGCCAATCAGACCATGCTGGAGGTGGAGTGGAGGGGAAAAAAGGAAACAGGAAATCTCTGGATCCCATTTCTGAGCCATTAAGTGGGCCCTGACTATGGACACACCTCTTTATTTCTCGAAATCTCAGCTTCTTCCTCTGTAAAACGATGGCACACACAATTACATGGTCAAGTCCCTTCTGGCTGCTTTAGACCCTTGGATTCTATTTATTTTCCATCTGTTCTTTTTTCTTTGATGGTACTGGAGATTCAGCCCAGGGTCTCGTGCATGCTAGCAAGTGCTCTACCACTGAGCTACGTCTCCAGGTCTTTTGAAAGTTTATTTTTAGACAGGGTCTAACTAAGTTGCCCAAGTTGGTCTTGATGCTTGTGATCCTCCTGCCTCCTGCCTCGGGTTCCCAAATAGCTAGGAGTATAGGCATGCACCAGTATGCCTGACTTGTTAGTGTTCATTTTTATAATCGAGTTTCTCTTGAAAACCTGTATTAATGAAGCCCTCTGTCTTTGTGTGTACTTGTGTGTGTGTGGCGGGGGAGAGGCAGAGATGAGTGGGTTAAGAGTCAAGGGCAGGCTGGGCTGTGGCTCAGTGGTGGAGCGCTTGCCTAGCATGTGTGAGGCACTGGGTTTGATCCTCAGCACCACATATAAATAAAAAATTAAAGAAAGTTTCATCCAAAACTAAATAATAATAATAATAAAGAGTAAAGGGCTAGCTACACTTTGTCCCTCTTTCTTGGGAATAAACAACCACATTAACTGACCTTGAGTCTGGGCTGATATCTTTCAGGGGCCTTCTGTTGGTCCCCTGTTACAGGAACCTGCTGTGGGGAATCATACTTACTCATAATTCTGACTCACTYGAGAAATGAAGAGGAAAATGAGGGCGTCAGTCCCAGTTCCCTGCCCTTTGGTGTTACATGGTGAGATGTCTGTCTGAGTGTCTGGATGTGTGAAACAGGGAAAGCCACTGCCATTGATGTGATATGGTTTGTCCTCATGTCCAATGGTTCATGTGCTGAAAGTTTGGCCCCCTGTGTGGCAATGCTRAAGTAATGAAATCACGGGGAACACCCTTGTGAGCACATTGATGTTATTTTGGGAGAGTGGATTATTATAAAGTGAGGCCTCCCCATCCAYTCCCCCCTTCTACTTCTCTTTCTGCTTCTCTGCTGTGTTCCTATGCAGCCAGAGGGCYCTTGCCAGGAAGCCAGCACCATGCTGATTGGACCCTCCAATTACCAGCTGACCTTGAGCACAATAAATCYATTTACTTTTTAAGTTACCCAGCCTCAGGTATTTTGTTAAAGCAACACACAACAGACTAAGAGAGCCACTCCTTTTGCTTTTGCTTTGTGAAGTTTGGCTGACCTTAAACATGTTTGAATAATCAACRCTCTTTGTGTGGAGTGAAAACAGACAAATTCACAACTGATTTTAGGATTCTCTGGGCTGAGTGTTAAATTCAAAGTTCTAGAAAGAATAATTGCCAAAAAGCAAAACAAAATTAAAAAAAAAAAAATTTAAAGAATGAAACTAAGGATAAAGCTATTCTTGTTGCACTTGCTCATTAGAGGCATTTCCAAGGATAGATAAATTTCCCTTTTGTGTTCTTCTCCATCTCCCCACTGGCTAGGAATGAAGATGCACAAACTCCAGTCTGGAGTGATAGGCCAGGAAGGGTGTTGGTGTCGTTTTCACTCTGAACRTTTGGTCTAACTTTCTAGGATGCGGAAAAACAATGTGGGCAGGTTTATATATTCACACAGAGCTAAATCTCTCCTTTGTGTTTCTCAACCTCCCTGGAACATATCAGCAACCTTTCTTAAGCCCAGTATGTGGGAATTTGTGCCAAAAAGATCCAAAAGTGTGCTTCGTGGTCTGCAGCTCATAATCCTATCAGTGGGGTTATCTTCCAAAGCTAAAAATAATTCTTTGCATAGACTGGAGTCCAAGCTGGGCCTAATGTGTAGCGATAGGAAAACTTATTAGCATATTTATTAAGGATCTTATTTAACATTCTGTTTTGAAAGTCAAACCATTGTTTGAAGTATGAGCAGAGTTTTATCATTCTATGAATATTTTAAACAGAAGGGGGCATCCACTATCACTGTGAATGTGTAACTTACACACACTTAGTGAATTTATTGTTTCTTCTTATAAGGCACTAATGACCACAATGAATTAAAAAAAACTTAATTAAAAAAAGTGATGTTAGTTTAATCTAGTCATATTGGTTATGTTCAAGTGACGAGAGTATGAGAAATAATTTCCCCTCTAATTTCTAAATTTCTATTGTGAGTCATTGAATCATTTTTATATTGAAAACAAATCTAAAGCATAATCATATCTCCAATATCCAAAATTTAGAAGCAGGTTTGTCATTATTTTTTGAACCTATTTACGAACACTAACCTTCTTTTTGCCTTTATAACTTATGCATATGTGTTCATAAAACAGCTAAAGGCTGAAGTCCTTCCTCCACAGGGAAAAGCAATTTGCAGATTCATTGAGTTCCTCCTTAGATGTCTAATATGCTAATTCTATTTTGTTTTTCTTTTTTGCTTTGAACTACCTCTGCTTTTGCCAGTGCCTCTTATTAAACACTAAAGCAAATAGCTAAACTTTACCAAGTACTTTCCCTAGCCAGCCGGCCTCGGCCCTCTATGTGTGCCCTTTGCTCAATCTTCTCAAGATGSAATGAGGTGGGTGCTATTACTACCCTCATTTCTATGGGAAAGAAAACTACGGCTCAGAGAGGTCAAGTGTGTTGCCCAAGGTAATTCTGACTCCAGGGGTCTTGGTCTTAAACTTGGTGCCAGCTGCCTAGGACRCAGGAGCTCCTGATGTATCCCTCATGTATCTCTGCATTGCCCACAAAGCAACCAGGATGAGAGCTTGCACAATAAGYAGTTGTCGCATCCAAGTCTGCATTTCTACACACCTTGAATTTCCCATTGGGGCGCTGGCCTTACATTTGTCATCTTACACCATAATTTGGACATAAGCAGGTTCCCCATTTAAAACAGATGATAGATAGATTTTATATATATAATATATATATATATACACACACACACACACACGCACACACACACATACATATGTATGCATATAATTTTCCCCCAAGTAGTTATTTTTTATGACAGTATTATGAGCAGAGATCTAATTAACAATGTTTTGTTCTGTATAAGACACATCCTAAACTAATTAGGGCTGATTAGGGAAGGATACATAGCAAGAAAAAGATCATTTTGAATTCTGAAGGCTAAATTCTAAAAAACTAAAAATTTAAATGAGCACAGCTTCATTATTTTCAGGCTCATAACCCACCCTAATTAATCTAACAAAATATTATTGGATGTTTGCCCAACTACCTATTCTTTAGGAAAGGCTGATTTAACAAAATGATTTTTAAAATATGTGCAAACTAGAAATTGTTTGAGTGTAAGTAGTTTCTCCTGGTAGTCTTTCTGCTGATTTGTTTGCCTTTTTAAGGTTTAGCAGACATTTTTCCTGAAAGTGAAGAAACAGCCCAATCTGATTTGTCTCAAGCTAGTCAAGTCCTCAGTCATGAGATTTCACTGCATCTCAGAAAATATTTTTGTTTACTCGAAACACTTTTTTCTTCTCAAATCTGTAATCCACAGCAAGAAGCGTGGTCATATCTACCAGACAGCAAGCTGTGTGGGAAGGAGAGGCGCTTGCCCTTCTCTGCAAGGCCAGTGGGGTGGAGAGTCCTCTATCCGTGACCTGGTGGCACATCCCACAGGACCAGACCCAGCCCAAGCTTGTGGCTGGCATGGCGCAGGATGGCACTGTGCAGTTGGGTGTCTCCTCTGGGGACCCCGGTTACCATGGCAACACGAGGCTGGCGAAGTTGGACTGGGCCACCTTCCAGCTGGAGATCACCTCCAGCACTGTCTCGGACAGCGGTGTGTACGAGTGCAGAGTGTCCGAAGRGTCCCAGAACCAGGCCAGAGGTCGGCACTGGACGCACAAGATTTCGGTCACCGTCAGATCTCTGAGTAAGTGCCCAAGAAACCCTTTTCTGAACTTGCACATCAGTCCCTTCTTCAGAGGTGCAATCCAGTTGGGTATCATTCTGAACGCCCCAGGAAGCAAATGTGTACCTCAGGAACACAGAGCCCAGTCTCAGGCTACCAGGTCTGTCCGTTAACCTCTAAAATCTATTTATCTTTACAAGGATTATCTTTAGAGTGCAACTCATCAGTTGTTGTTCATGGTTAAAAAGAAAGTCCTATGATTTGGAGTGGACCTGGAGAGTGCCCCGAACCTTACACCTTCCGGTTTATGACAGCTGCAGGCCTGGCCTACTGGAGTCTCTTCTGGCATGGGCAAGAGAGACTGACCCTTCCCCCAGGAGCAGGGTGACGGGGTGGGAGGAAGAAGGCCAGACCACAGGGGCCCTAGCGCTCCACCCACCCGGCAGCAGCTGTCCAARCGGCAGACTGGAGAAACACTGCCTGTTTGTTGTCAGGCCTGAGATCTGTGGTAGGTCAGCTTGGGAAAATAGATCAGACTTCAGGACAGACTGAACTGTGAATCAGCTTCTGCCCCCAAATACACAGCCCTCGGAATGGATGGGTGCACAGTCCCGTGTGAAGATGGCACTAAAAAGCTCGAAAGATCTGCCCTTTGACTTGGTAAACCTATTAGAAATTGTGTTTCTCTTTTCTGTCTGCAGACTCAAGTTTACAAGTTAATCTGCTGAGCCGTCAGCCACAAGTGAAGTTAGGGGACACCTTTGACCTGTCCTGYATAGCGGGGGCTGACTACTCTGACCTCAGACTGCCTCTCACTATGAGGTGGCGGTTCCAGCCAGATGGGTCTCAAGCCTTTCGTCAGCTAGTTCGAGTCACTCACAATGGCATCATCGAATGGGGGGATTCCCTGTCCCAGTTCCAAAAGAAGACGAAGGTTTCACAGTCTTCATTTCGTGCTCAACTCCTCATCCATGATGCCTCTGAGGAAGAGACRGGAAAGTATGAGTGTGAAGTGGAAGTGTATGACAGAAATCCCCTACCCACAGATAGCCCAGCCAGGGCTTCTGCCGTCTCTCACCCATTGAGGATAGTGGTCACTTTACCAGGTAAGTGACACTTGAAATTAATCTCTGCTTTTAAGAAATTCCTCTCATTTTAGGTAAGCTGGAGAAATACACATAAAGAACCCTGTCCCCATATCTGCACKGTATAAGTAAGAACCATATATGGGATAGCACTCAACATATGGTTCTTACTTATACCGTGCAGATATGGGGACAGGGTTCTTTATGTGTATTTCTCCAACTTACCTAAAATGAGAGGACATTAAGTTAATATGCACAGGGTGGCCATTTTGGCTGTTAAATCACTGAACTACTCCACACCAGTTGATAACCATTGCTCTGGGCTCTTTCCCCAACTGCCCCAAAGTTTCCCCCACCCAGAAACTAAAGGGTACTGCCTACCACAGCAGGGACCTGGAGGGCTATGCTCCAGAAGAGAGGCAGTCTTTTTGGTAGGTCTCTTCCCATGTCCTAGCAGTTATTAAATGTTTGGAATGTCTTTCCTAGTGGTAGGGACCATGTAAATTCCATTATAATACCCTGATCTGGGCTGGGGATGTAGCTCAGTGGTAGAGCACGAGTCCGGCATGTGTGAGGCTCTGGGTTCAACCTCCAGCATTGGGAAAAAAAACAACAACAATACTGATCTACTTCTTTTTAATGTATTCATGCATGAGTCAAGGGGCTGGGGTTGTATCTCAAAGGCAGAGCACTCGCCTAGCATGTGTGGATCTTCGCTCCTCAGCACCACATAAAAATAAAAAATAAAAAAGTATGTGTCCAACTACAACTAAAACAAAATATTTTTAAAACACATATGAGTCAAAGAATTTATGATTACAGTGAAATATAATCCACCCCATCAATTGCTGATTAAACAGAGGTTAAAGGTAAGACACAACCTGGAAAAAATTCTGCTATGTTTTGTATCTTCTCCTTATTATTCGCATTGTCTTAGGACAAGGAATTTAGATCTGACAAGCACTAGATAAAAGCTTGGCTTCAGACAAGTCACTTAATCAGTCCAAGTTTTAGTTTCCTCTTCTCTAATTTGCTCATGTGCAACTTAAATGTGGTGACATATATAATGTGCCTAGCACAGTGCCTGATACACCAAGCAGATGCTCAAACACAGTAGCTGTCATGTTCTTTCTGCTGTTGAGCAATACTCTCCATAAAAGTAATGATCTTCTTGTTTATTAAATCATGCCTTCCTTTACTGTTGTCCAAAACCTTTTTTCTTGAAACTTCTTTTTTTCTTGTTCCTATGACAGAAGATTTTCTTGCTTTCTTTCCTAACACTGACTGTTCCTTACCAATTTCTTTTACAGGGTTTTCCTCCTTCACCGATTTATTCTTTAAAGACAATTCTTCTTTTGGATTACTTTCTTCCCATGATGCTACACTTTCTCTGGAGTTAGATTCAACCCTACCTATAATTATACCTATATGTTGACAACTCCCAAGTCCGCTATCCTGATCTCCAGACTCACACCTAATTGCCTCCAAGCCATGTCTACAYTCACTGTGTCAAAACATAAATTCACCACTATCATCTGAAGCTACTCCTTCCACATTGTGCCCTGTGTCCCCACCACCTACCAGTGGCCCAATTTGGAAACCTGAGTCATTCACAATCCTCTATGCCCTCCACATGTTCAAATTCTCATGGTGTGACATGCAAGGTCCTTTATAATAAAAGACATTTATGTGTTCTCAGCATCATCTCCTTCTACTTTCCATCTTGGATTTGAGCTCAAGTCATACCAAATTACTTGCAGTTCCTCAATAATCCATGTTCTCTCTCATTTAAAATTTTTTTCACTCAAGTTGCTTTTTTATGTGGAATTCCTTTGCCCTTTCATCATCAGAATCATTCCTGTAAACCCTTAAGACTTAGCTCACAGTGGTCTCCTCCAAAAAGTCTCCCCTCACTCCTACATGTGGGTTAGGTGGGCTCCTGGATGCTCTGATACTTTGAGTACTTCCCACATAGGTAACACCTGCTATGATCTATAACCCTCTGTCCCTGTATTTGTCCCTTTCTCTCTAAAAGTGAGCCACCGAGGAGCAGTACCCATAGAACCTAAAATAGTTTTGCATGCCATACAGTGTGTGATAAATAAATGTTTGGTGAAACAGAGTAAAGGGATCGTTTTAATCATCTTTTTTATTGCTTTGACCAAAAGACCTAACAAGAACAATTTTAGAAGAAGTTTATTTGGTTTCAGTTTCATAGGTCTTAGTCTATAGACAGTCTATAGCAGCTGGCTCCATTCCTTAGGGCTTGAGGTGAGGCAGAATATTGTGGTGGAAGAGTGTGGTGGAGGGAAGCAGCTCACAAGATGATCAGAAAGCAGTGAGGGAGAGACTCCACTCACCAAATACAAAATATATACTCCAAAATATAAACACCCCCAATGCCCACACCCTATCTTCTTTCAGTTACCACTCAATTAATCCCATCAGGTGATTGATTCACTTGATTGGGTTAAGGCTGTCATATCCTAAACATTTCTCCTCTGAACCATCTTGCATTGTCTCACACATGAGCTTTTGGGAGACACCTAACATCCAAACCATAACAGGGACTGGCAACATCAACAAGCAGTTATAAAAGTAGGCTCAGTGACATCAGTTAAAATAAGATTTGAAAAGAAGTTTATCATGCATCTTTCTGACAAAGCAGAAAGGAGAGGTTAAAGGAGATGGACTCCATATTACCAGATGCTTCGCAGTGGAGTGGCTGCACAATTTCCTTTTGTTTACCCATGTTTGAAGGCAGCAATAACTAGACTTTGACAAATTGTGGATTCAGAAAYACTCTGGATAGCAAGCACACAGAGCATTAGGAATGCCACTTTCTTTAGTTTGAAACACAAAATGCTGTAGAAGAGGTGTCTGTGCTGAAACACTAAAGCATCATCATGTTGGAAAGAGAATGAGCTTTTCTATATGATACTTCCCTTCCCCACCCAGTAAAGGTAGAATTAGGACCAGTGGGTGCAAGTTATGAAGAGAGAAAACTCAAGTTGATATCAGACAGAATTCTCCAGTGGCATAGTTGTTCCAAGATGGAATGATCTGCATCATTGGAGAATTGTTCAAAGGCTGAATGAGCAGGTCATGTGGCCGCTGAGAGGGAATTGTCACATATGACGGTCACAGGAGGGGTTGGCCTCATTGACTTCTAATATCCTTTCTRCCTGAAAATTCTGTTTTCTAGCGAAGTAACTGTTTTCATTCTTTTCATTCAGAGAGCAAGCTAAAAGTGAACTCAAGAGATCAATCCCAGGAGATCTCCATCATCTCCAACACCAATATAGAATGTAACATCTTATCTCGGACCATTGGAAACCTTCAGTTAGCAATTATTTGGTATTTTTCTCCCATTTCTTCTAATGCATCCTGGCTCAGGATCCTGGAGATGGACCAAACCAGTGTTGTAAAATATGGGAATGAATTTCATACCCCACAGAAAAAACAAAAATTTCATATGGAGAAAGTTTCCCAAGACTTGTTTCAGCTACATATTCTAAGTGTGGAAGACAGTGATCAGGGCAGATATTACTGTGCCGTGGAGGAATGGCTCTTGTCTACAGACGGTACCTGGAAGAAGCTGGGAGTAAAGAAGTCGGGACTAACAGAACTGAAGCTCAGGCCCACAGGTAGTTCTTGTGAATGTGTTGACRCATGTCTTTCTGTAAGATTGCCACCTTCTCTTAGGCAGTTATTCTATGAAATGATTATATGGAAGTAAAAATATGACCTAAAGTCATAGGAATAGTGTCTGCCTACAAATGACTGCAGAACATGGTAGCCCAGAGCAGGGGAGGTCACTTAAGGACAGTCTGAGGTTTTGAGGAGCTCAGACAGGAACAAGATCCCTGCGACTGGTTTGCTTATCAGCCTGGCAGCCTGGTCTATGCAGCTACCCAGGGCATCGTATCTCCAGATCTCTATAATAACAAGCTGTGTCACTCCAGTGGGGCTCTACTGTAATTTGGCAGAGAAAGAGTAATGCAAAGCATATTTCTCCCACTGTGAACAGAAACTGTACAACTCTATGGGGATGTGTGGAGAAATTGCTTTCCAACATTTGGCTGCCTAAACATAAGGCAAATAAGAGTAGTTAACTGTTGGAATGGCATACTGAGGGAATCTCCTCTTCCTCAGGAGATCTTTAAAAATGTAATGGAAGTGCCATCCATTTGCACTGGTCTAAGAGTGTTGCTGTATAACTGTGGACAGGCTTGATTGGCTCTCTTGGCATTGGTTAGGTCACCTCCACTGTTGACTAAAATTAAATGAATGTCACAGCTAAAGTTTGGGAACTTGACCAGATCCATATAGCATAATGCAGATAAGTCAAGCTAACTGGGTGCTTAAAAGACTATTCTCRAGGTAACATCAAAAATAAGACTAAAATCGAAGATTACTATAGATCAAGCAATGGGAAAGAAGAGATAAGTAAAGCACAGCTCTTAAGGAGCTCACAGTCTGTGGGAGCAGCAGGGGATAGCTTGGTAGCAGGATTTCTTCCTGCYGCTCTGGCTCCCTGTCTCCTTCTTTGGGCCCCTCTTCCTCTCYCTGCTAAGCATGAGAGTTCCTCAGGGATACACTCTGGGCCCTTTTGCTTCTTATTCTCTGCTTTCCTCAGAACTTTCTAAACTGCCCTGGTTCGAATTGCCACCTCAGGGTGATAACTCTAAGCCTTTACGCTTAGCCCTGATCTCCCGAGCTCTGGGCCTTTAGACCCAGCTGCCAGCTGTACGTTTCTACTTGGTTACCCCAGAAACCTTCAACCTCAGCCTGCCCCAGTTGCACTTCTCCTCTCTGCCAACCCACAAGACTCAATCATTTTTCTGCATTTGGAATCTGTGTGACTGACATCCCTGCCTCCCAGATGTCCCGGTCCAAATCTGAACAGTGTGTGTGTATGCCCCTTTCAAGGAGGCAGACACCTCTTGTCTTGAGCCAGTACTTTCTGTKTAGAAATGTGGGGTCAGTGTCGGCAGACTTTTTAATACATAAAAAAATTTCCACAGTCTTTTTTGATATCTCCCAGTTTGAGAACATTTACAACTAYTCAAATTCTTTTAAAATACTGAAGGTGTCAAATAAAGCCTGTTTGCAGGTTAGGTATGATTGTGGGTTGCGATTATGCATTCTGGCTTAGGAAAATAAAYTAAAGAAGAACCTTCAGAAAACGATATTGAGAAGGCCAGGTGCAGGGGTGCATGCCTGTGATCCCAGTGACTTGGAGGCTTGAGGCAGGAGGACTGAAACTTCAAGGCCAGCCTCAGCCACTTAGCAAGAACTTGTCTCAAAATAAAAAATAAAAAGAGCTGGAGATGTAACTCAGTGGTGGAGCACCCCTGGGTTCAATTCGCAATMTCAAAAAAGAAAACCAAGACAAAGCTCAAAACCAAAACCAAAACAAAACAAAAAAGATATTCAGAAGGACAGTCAGCCTTGTTGGGAGAAAATTTTCTCTGAGGCCAAGGAAGAAAAATATTTTAGAAGAAAATAGATTTTAGTGACAAAACCACAGAGAGAACAGAAAAACACTGGAGGGTCCCTTGAGTTGGGAAACTGGGCCCCACCAAGTGTGGTGATGGGACTGGAAGTCTGATTGTCATCAATTAGGGAGTCAGCTGGGGCGAGGAAACAGTTTCACATAAACTAATATTTTACATGCTTTTCCATGTAGGAAAGGGGAGAGCAAAGACAGTTACAAGTGTCTGATATCATACAAAGTTGTTCTTTAAATAGCTTAATAAGTGCATTGAGAGGGGAGTTGAAAATGTAACGCACACTATAATTTCTTGATTAATATTAGTTTTGGTAATTATATCGTTCCTAATCCTTACCTGCTGGTGAGTGGGAAGGGAGAGAAAAACATCAAAATCTTTTTAAACCATAGTCTAATCAAATAACTTAAATAGCTCCCTTGGGTGGTATCCTACCACTTGTATCAAAATATCCGGTCTCTCAAATGGCCTCTTCTCTCAGTGTCTCTACCTGAGTGATTCCCGGGTGTTTCGGAGGAAGGCAGTTTGCTGAGAATGAGGGCTAATGGTGTGACAGGCAATTTGAAGGGGAGCTGGCAGCTTTGAATAGCCCGTATGGGAAGTTGAGTCGCATGTTGACCAAGGGGAAGTGAAAGCAGCAGCCATAAGGGCCTGGCGGCAGCCGGGTGGTTTTTAGTAGCAGGGTCCACCAGGCTAGCGGCAGGAATAAGAAGGGAAGTGGTTGGCTTGATTCACGCCCGAGAATGTTCCCGCAAGTGTGAAGGAAAGAGCAGAGATCAAGGAAAAATATTAAAGATGAAGAACGAGTCWGGTGTCTAAAGAATACCAGATGGGATCCTTCCAGCAAAAACTGGATTTTCCAGAGGAGGCATCCAACCTAGAAGTCTGTGTTCTTCTCTAACCTATTGCCCTTTCGTCCTCTAGGAAGGAAGGTTCAAGTCTCCAAAGTTCACCAGATGGAAAATGCTACCGAGCACAGGGAGGTGGCCCTCAGCTGCAGCCTGGAGAGCTCGGGCGGCGAGGCCTCCCTGTACTCTGTGACGTGGTTCAGGAGCAGAGGAGACACGAGGAGCCAGATGCTGGTGCACCTGCACCACGATGGCTTGCTGGAGTACGGCGAAGAGGGGCGCAGGGGGCACCTGCACTGTGCCCGGGCTTCCCCTACAGACTTTGTCCTGAAGCTTCATGCGGTGGAGATGGAGGACGCCGGCATGTACTGGTGCAGAGTGGCGGAATGGCAACTTTATGGTCACCCAGGCAAGTGGGTCAGCCAAGCATCGGATGAGTCGCAGCAAATAGTGCTCAGGGTGCTGCCTTCAGGTAACAGGGGTTGATCTTCCGTGGGCTGGTGTCCTGAGAATATTTGGCTCTCCGTTCGTGCTTTCTCTGGTGAACTCCTCCTTCAGCCTGAAGGCATTTCTCAGATTCCCTAAAGAAGATGACGTCACTGTCTCTCAGTAATAACTCTCAGTGGTAACAAACCACTGGGACTTGGATCATGAAGGTCACGTTAACGCTTTTCATTACTGTAACAAAGAGCTGAGATAACCAACTTATAAAGAGGAAAGGTATAACTTGGCCTAAAGCTTTAGAGATTTTAGTCAGATGATCAGAAGCTTTGGGTCTATAGTGGTACATCATGGCAGGAGCATATGGCAGAGCAAAAAACTGCTCATCTAGTGACCAGGAAGTGAAAGAGAAAATGATAAAGGGACTATTGTCCCACAAGGGACAGCAAGGAGGGCAGCCAGTCAAAAACCCTTGGTCAGGGACTGACCGTTTTCTATGCACAAAGGTCCTCTTCCTCATTCGAGTGCTCCACCTAGTACAGTTCAGCATAGGATAGTCACTTATTAAGCAGGTGTTCATAATAAAAACTAGACGCTGGTGTTTGATGGCTGGCTACAACATGCGCAGTCCATTCTCTTAGCCACTTCTTTCCAGTGAGGTTCAAGAAGCAGGTGAGAAGTGAACTGTGAAATGAACTTAGCATGGGAAAGGGCCATTGGAGAAGCAGAGGTATAGACGGGGACCCCACACCAGGGAGGAGAAATGGAAATGATCAATAAGGTAAAGCTGCTTTAGTGAYGCTCTATAGGAGAGAAAGTTGCTATCGAGAACATAAGGCAACTCTCAGAATCAGGACAGTTGCATCTCAGCCACAGCSGGGCTCTGAAGTGGAAGTCAAAGTGATGTGATTGCTCCCAGGGCTGCATCATCCTCAACCCCTGTCCCTGCTTCAGATTTTTTTTTTTTCTCTCACATGTCCAGACAGAACTTTTTTTCTTATCAGCCCTTTGTTCCAACATTTATAGGAGGTCCCACCACCCCTGAGCACATTCCATACAGGTGTTCCCACTGGAATTCTAAGGCTTTGTAGAATCAGCAATTTTTTCAGTAGAGTAAATAGATAATAACAGTAAAAAGTACATATTCTGTGACTAGAAAGCACAGCTCCTCTGGGGCAGTTGAGATCCTTCGTAGCATAGATATGTTGTTAATCTCAGTGGAATCCTTGTAAAACAGGTGTAAAGTTTTWAAAAAGACAAACTCTGGAAAGGAAACATTAAAAATTGAGTGGTATTTATATTCTTCACAACTGAAAAAGCTCAAAAGCCTGTGCCATGACCAACTGAGGATTTTCAGCATGACTAATGTCAAGGATTCTCAAGGAAACCCTTATAATAGAGCACCTCGAATCCTCCGCCTCACTGTTCCTCTCTGGTGGTTGGGGACAGTCTGAGTGATGAAAAGTTCCCAGGGGTTGAAGTCAGATAAGCCTGGGCTCAGATCACAGCTCTGCCACCTATGAGCCATGAAATCATACCATAGGTACGTGACTTCTGTGAGCTTCAGCTTTCTTGTAAAATGAAGATMAAAATGTAAATGTGTTTTAAAGTACCCAGTATAATCCCTGGCACATGACAGGTGCTAAACAAATGCTAACTCCTTTCCCTCTTATGCCTCCAAACATGTTACACACATGTATGTATATAATTCATATATGCACATATATACATAGTTGTATGTACACCTATGTGACAAGTTCTTTTTCTGKCCCTGGGTGCTAGGCAAGTGCTCTACCACTGAGCTACATCCCCTGACAAAATAATTTCATTTGTTCAATAATTAAATTTACATGAGGTTCTGAGAATACAAAAAATGTATATTACGAGGTATATACAGGACTTGGAGTCCAGAGTGGGAAGTCAAGTCCAACATGACAGGTGTTGTTGAAGAAGCATTCTCAGGGTGCTAAAGGAACAACTGAGCTAGGTGAGGGCAGGGTAGGAAGGAGATCTGGGAGGGTCCTCTCAGTATAAGGGCTGTGGTACAATGGTGACAGCTGAGACCAGTGAGATGGGGAAGGCACAGATCTTGGGTTCATCTGGTGTCTGAAGCTAAGGAAGGGCACTTTATCGTGCAATTATGGGGTGTTGCTGAAAAAGTCCAAAGAGGGAAGTGACATCATCAGATCTGCATTTTATAGAAAGTTCCCACTGGCAGTAGTATTTCTGATCAATTGGAGCAGAGGCAGACAGAGCAGGGAGAATCATCTGAAATTGTAGGAACCCGATGAGACAAGATGCATTAAGGCAGTGCCAGTGAGACTGAGAGAAGGACAGCATGAGGCATTAGGAGGCCTGATCTTCAGGATCTAGACACTGATTAGATATATGTGGGCAATGAGTGGAAGGGGAAAATCGAGGATGACTATTTGGATGCTGGCTTAGGTGAACAGTGATGTCAGTGACCAAGCAAGGTAACACAGGAGCAAGGTTTATAGGGGGAGATTAGTTCAATTTTGAGTAAATGGAGCTGGCATTGAGTTTGGATTACGTGTGAATTATCAAAAATAATCTGTCTGATAGTCATGGGGGCTTCTAAATGGAATATGCAGCAGAGTTGTACATTAGGGGCTATTAATTTATACCCGATGATGCTCAGAGATGAGTCCCTGAGACATATCACTATTGATCAGGAGAACAGAGAGGCAGACTGTGAAGGAGGAGATTGACTGYGATGGCTGGGAAGTAGGAGGAAAATTGGAATTCAGTGCTATCACAGAAACCCAGGGCAAAGAGGGCATCAAGAGGGAAGGGAGAGACAACGTGCTGGACAGTGCAGAGAGGTCTTAGCTAAGAATGGCGTTTCCATGGATTTGACAAGATAGGAGGACAATTGCAGAACAGTAAAGAGAGAAGTCAGATTGCACCGGTCTAGAAACGAGCAAGCAGCCCATCAAGTACAGATGACTCTCTCAAGAGCTATAACGGGAAAGAGAGAAGACCACAAACATAGCAAGAGGTGTCAGTGAGAGCATTTTCGTTCTGCTTTATTTCTGTGTTGCTTCAAAGATGGTAGGAACTTGAGCATATTCACACTGTAGAGAGGAAGAAGGCGAAGTGCAGAAGAGACTAGACACGGCTGACACCCRGCACTGGTAGTGCCTCACGGCCCCCTCCACACCTTCTTCCCTGGTCAACCTCTAATCTTTCACCCACCAACTGAGCTGCTGCTGTCCCCGTGATTCACCTTGCTCTCTTAGTCATCACGACCACATTCACCCACCACCACTGCTAGACTGATGCTCTGAGCAGGCAAAGACTATGGGTGTCTTGTCCCCATCTGGCTCCATCTGGCATGCAGGAGATGCTCAGATACTTACTGAGTCACAATCCCATTCCTGGAGAGTACCAGTTCCATGTGCTAAAAAGTACCCGGGTCACTTATAATATACTGCTAATTGTCATTTCTCAGTGGCTTTCCACCCCCTCTATGGGCACCCTGGGTTGGGTTAGTTTTACACATTAGAGTTGTGGAGCAGGGAACTCCAGTGAAGGCAGAATAATTAAGAGGCATTCCCTGGGAGAACGGACCTAACCTTTTCTTCTCCATCTTACTTCCTTACCAATGGCCAAGCCAGGACAGGGCCTACAGCTGCCTGAGTCTGTTTGCCTCATCCTCAGGCCCTACATAGGAAGGTCTTTATTTTTTGAAGAATTGTCTGGATTAATTGATAGGCCAGGTTSTAAGGCTTTCTGGGGACTGGATTATTTTAGTAGTGTAGTACTTGTAGCCATTTCTCAGCTCTTTTGGGGTGAGGATTTATTGAGAAGGTGGATTCTTAAAGGAGACACACATCCTACCTGGAGAGGTCACGTCATTTGTTTACCTCTCACCCTTGCCTTCAGTGAGGCCTGGCACATAGCACTCAACACATGCTTGATCAAAGAATGAGCAAGTCTTCCATTAAGTTGAAATGGAATGCTGACAGGGCRTTACTGATTCTGAGATGCACCTGATATCAGAAGGCCTTCCCCCACTTTTATTTCTTGGCAGGAACCACTCTTGCATGTGTGGTATAGCCAATTGCCCAAGTTTGGGATGGAGGGGTGGAGAGGAATTGGGAGCCCCCTTATCATCCTACACTTCTCAGAAGTCAGTGTTTCTGAGATAGTATCCAAAAGGAGGCTCCCTGTGGCTGTGGGAGGAGCAAGTTATAAACTAAGCCTCATGATAAAGTGTTCTCATTAAATTTTTGGCTCTGTTTTGCAGGGCTTGTACTTTGAGCACTGGACACTTAGATTGATTCAAAATGCCAAACCCTGATGGTTTTGAGTGTCACCAATTCTAATCCAAATATGGGTGAGAGGCAGATGGTGGGAAATGGTGATGTGGGATCCAGAGAAAACACTGCCCTCCCAGGAGAGGTAATTTAGAAGCACTGGAGCTGACAGTTGGTAGCTGCTGGCTAATTCAGCGCTGTGAGGAGTGCACTTTGCCGTCCTTTGATAGCAGATTGCTCTAAACAGAGCATCCTCCTCCCCATTAAGACCATCAAGGCCTCTGGCAGTCCCTTCACGCAGAAGATTACAGTCCCAGGGGCAAAGAAGTTCAGTACCAGATTTCTTTTTCCCACCACCCATGTGCCAGCCCCATCTCACCATCATCACACCACCATCCTAGCAACTGTGAGACTTGGTACAGCCAACTCCCACCTCAAATTCTCGGCTTCCCATGACTAGAAAGGAAGCCAGAGACTTTTAGCTRAAGGTTGCCCAGGTTTGGGGCAAAGGATGACATCGAAGAGAATTTAGCTGGCAGAAGAACTTGGCCAAGACTGTCATGTTAACTGGCTTTCCATCTCTGTGACAAAATACCTCAGATAAACCTTTGTTTATCTTTTTTGAGTGTATGGTGCTGGGGGTTGAACCCAGGGCCTTGTGCATGCCAGGCAGACACTCTACCACTGAGCCACATTCCCAGCCCCAAGAAAGTTTTCTCTTGATTCATAGTTTTGGAGGTTTCAGTTCATAATCAGTTGGTCCATTGTTTTGGACCTGTCGGGAGGCAGTACATTATGGCAGGAGTGTGCAGCAGAGAAAGCTGCTCACCTCATAGCATCCAAGAAGCAAAGAAAAAGGAAGAGGCTGGTGTCCCACGATCCTCTCTGAGGGCATACCCACAGTGACCTAAGATCTTCCAATAGATCCCCCTCTTAAAGGTTGTACCAGCTTCTAGTAGTGCCAAGCTAAGGACCAAGCCTTTAACACATTAGCTTTTGGAGGACATTCCAGATCCAAACTATGGCACATGTGATCCCTGAATGAGGAAGCAACAGGAATCCTGTATATAGTCTTTTGAGAGTAAGTTGTCTGCAATTTTTCTCAGCTTTCTCAGTAGCACTCCAACTAATATTGATTGTTTTCTGATTCAACAAATGCTATTAAGCATTATGTTAAATGTTGTATTGTGCACTATCACATCATAACTCTGGACATTATTATTATCCCTGTTTGTCTGATGAGGAAACTAATGATTAGAGAGGATAAGTAACTTCCAGTAAGTTGAAGCATGATGATTTGAACCCAGCTCTCTCTGAAATATAGTAGGTGCTCATTCGTTACTCTGCGTGAATGCCCATGGCCAGTGACCTCTGCACCTAGTCCCGGCTCCATTCTCTTTTAGCATTATCTATGCTTCCTTTTAACCATGCCTTCAGTGTGCTCAGATGAGACCTGGGACAATAACTGTAATCAAGCTGGATCATTTGGGAGAGGAGCTGGTAGAATGTGGAGAGGAGATGGTAAAGAATTCAAAATCTGGCACTGCCATTGCTCATCCTTCCAAAAAGAAAAAAAAAAAATAGCATGGAGAATGCAAGTGAGACCAGAAAAAATCCCGGCCACAAACCCCTGCAGCTCTTTGCCAGCCCATTCAGAGCTGCCAGCCTCAAGTTCAGGAGGATCCTTACTTTTCATAATACAATGGCGGCTGCCCCTTGTTCCCTTGTGAAATGCATTCATACAATACTGCATTCATTAGGCTCCATTGAGGTCCTGTGGATAAAGTGCTGCACAAGATAAAAAGACTCATAAGACACAGGCCTTACCTTCAAGGAACACACAATACAGCACTTGAGCAAATGTCCAGATTCTTTCTCAACTTTTTTTCAACATGTAAAATGCATTAGCAATGCCCAAAATGGAATTCTTACAGCAGGAGATGGGTCATAATGACCTATAAACCTGTTTTCATCTCAAAGAGTCTATAATTCTATGAATCCTATAGCTTAACCTTTGAAGAAGAGATTGCTTATGTCGTTACAGTTTTCCAAGAAAAGCACAGCTATTGATAGCATGCGATTTTTTCTGAACGGTCCTGATTTCAAATATCATGTCATAAATAAATTCAGTTGGTAGGCTATAATTAGTGGTCGGTATGTCTTTAAGCCTATGACTTTCTGCTTCAAGACTCTGTAAACGTGGTCTTTTGACCGGTTGTAGCTCAGGGCATCATTTGCTGGAAYCTGTGGTGTGTGCAATCCTCTCCTCTTTGCTCCCTTGACCAAGCGAGCAGCCAGGAGCCACTCTGAGGCTGCTTGTGCGTGCTCCACATGTCTGTCTGCTGATGGTGCTTCCCTGCGGACTGCAGCTGCGGGAGGATCACATACTTCAGCATGACTTTATATAGTATCTTTGGCCTGGGTGGTTGCAGTCAACCTGATTTAATTCAGATCAGCAGAAGTTATTGAACATGTGTCCTAGGCACTGTAGGGGGTGTAGAAGCACATGACACTATCAGATGTACTCCATAGCTATAATAAAACAAAGAGCTGGGTTAAAGGGGAGGAAAGAGGTCTAAACAAAGGGCTGTGTGAGAGGGGAATAAGCAGAGACTTGTGCCCAAGGCCAGGTAGGAGCACCAGGAAAGGAAGAGTGATCTGGCTAGGCAGGAAGGACCTGGAGAATTAGGTACAGGGAGGGACAATTGAGCAGCCCAGAAAAGGAGCCTGAGAGGGTTCTGCTTGGAGGCCAGGTATGGGTCAGGGAGGGAAGTGCTCCTCTCTGCGGGCTCAGATGTTTACGAGGACAGTGCAATGTGGTGTGTGTTTCAGAAGCAGCAGTGGGAATAGCTCAGTTAAAAATTCAGGGCTGGCAACATAGTTGAGAACGAGGGMTGAATTATAGATATCTTTTCTGAGGAAGGAAGATTAAAGGAGAGGTTTTCTTTTTCTTTTTGTTTTGTCTTTGGTTTGTGCTGGTAGTTTTAAGTAGGTCATTGGAAACTCCAGTGGTTGGAAATTGCTGGGCAAGGGGGAGTTGCAAGCATTAGGTGAGCAGAGCTGTGCAAGCACCCAGTCCTGGGCTCCCACATGTCACTTGGCCCCTTTGTGTTTACATATATTTGCCTGTAACATTAAATTGAGAAATGTGCATGACTGGTTAGTCCAGATAGGTGGGAGAATGACGCTCTCTGTATTTTCCTCCCTTTCATTGCAGAGACCACGTTTCCTTCCCGGATCTGCTCCTCGACACCTTTACTCTACTTTCTTGTCATCTGTCCCTTGGTCATGTTCGTTCTTCTGCTCATTTCCCTCCTCTGCTTATCCTGGAAGGCCAAAAAGCTGTCGCAGCTGAGTCTCAGAGCTCAGAAAGACAAGTCTCTTTGGGTGGGTCTGAACGGAGCTGAAGGCTGGACTACAGACAGGAGGAAGCACCAAGAGGAAGATGAAGACAACTGACTCCTGAGAGGCACCTGCATCTGGTGRAAGGAGCACATGGGGACTTTTGAAGTGAACTTACCTGGGTGTGAACAAATCCTGGTCCTGTCCTTCCCTACAGCTGTGGCCTTGGGCAAGTTGCCTGGGAATCAGAGGGAACATTTAATGAGCACTTTTTTTTTCTTAAATATACACATTTTGTTTTTTTCAAAGAAGAAATAAAAATGATCAACAAACACCTGAAAAAAAAAATGTTCAACAACCTTAGCAGTAATGGAGAAAGAAATTAAAACTATATGGTGCCAGGTTATTTACCCCTTGCAACTTTCAGACGCAGATAGCATCATCATTACTCAGGCTCCCCCTGACCACGCCCCCTAGAGGTTGTAGGTAGAGAAGTGCCTCCCTCACACAGGTTGGAGGGTCAGATGAGCCCTGATGGTGGAGTCCTGGGTGGGTCCAACCCTTCCTTGCCCTTTCTCTTCCCCTCTCCCTCTTCTTGGGTCTTCTCTTCATTACTAATTTCCCTGGAAACACTGGTAGCCCCATTACATTGGCTTGAGGTMATCTCTTTCTTCCAGGTAAGAGGTGCAGGAAAGAGCCCAACGTCAGCAAGGCAGAAAGAATTGGGAACATTCACTCATTTACCTAAAAACTGCCTCCCAACCAGAATGTAACATCTTTCTAGACCAAAATCCAATTTTTTTTTCCCCTATCCCATCTACAAATGCCTACTCAAGAGCTTAAGAGTAGGTGAATCAATACTGGTTCTATAAAACATTTTGTAGCTTGAGGATTTGGGAGGGGGAAAGAGGGAGGGGGTTTGCTTTTATGCCATAAGATTTACTAAGTCATTGCTGAGAAAAAGCTTTTTCTGTTTCATGCAGTAGTGCTACACTTAGGCCCCCAAGGCCGTCTCCCCTTCTTCCCCCACCAAAGGACCCATCCATTGGCTCCAGRGCATCTTTCCCATGACCTGACAATTCCGGGCAGCAAGAAAACACGGTGGTAATGTGTGGAGGAGGAGGGGTCAGCAGTGCCACTAGGTCCTCCTATGTTCTCAAGGCAAGCAGCAGGTCAAGTCTGATTCCTGGGGATCCCCTAATCTCTGCCTGGAAAATTCCAAAGGTGGGGGCATTTAAGGCTTGAGGCTTTCAAAGGCTGTTCCCATCAGGCCTGGGGTCTYCTCACCTTTGTTTCAAAAGCTGCTCAGGCCTTGTTTGATCCAGAATTGGAAATCAATCAATGCCACCTAAAAGACCTGAGAAAATACRTCTATTTATTGTCAATGTGACCAACAGGGTTGCTTTATGGCTTAGCAATTTGCATTTCCAAGGAGAGCAATTTATTTTTAATTATTTTATCAGGCGCGTGATCCTCTCCAAWTTTAATTAGTTCCTTTGCTCCTTTGCAAGCAGATTACGGGTGGCTATGAGAACCTTTACTCTAGACCTGCAGGTTTCTTAAATTCATCTCCTTTTTTAGCCTCATTTGAAATACTCCAAATATTTTCTTAAACGTGTCAATACTTTTACTACTTCTCTTCCAGGTGAGGGAGCATATTTTTACTGAAAACAAAACAGAAATAAAGACTTCTTAGAAAGTCTGATGAACCCTTTCCCTGCATTTTTCCCCCAGAAATTTGTATTTTATTTTTAAAATTKTTTTTTCCTTTAATTTTTATTGTTGGTTGTTCAAAACATTACATAGTTCTTGACATGTCATATTTCACACTTTGATTCAAGTGGGTTATGAACTCCCATTTTTAAGGACAGAAATTTGTATTTTAATTGAGATTTGGGAAGGAAAGAAAGTACAATTGAGCCCCAGCCAGAGAATCACAGAATAGACAGTGGAGCTGCCGTCTGCCGGGAGCCCCCTTCCTCTGTCCCACCTCTCTTCACCTGGATACAGCTTTCTTGGCTCAAATACCATTCCTTCACATTTGAACCCAGCACAGTGAACTCAGCACAGGGCTTGCACAGAGAGAGACTGCACTATCAAACTGAGCACTAAGCCAGGGAAGTATTCCCAGCAAGCCCTTGCAGCTTGCCAGCCACTGTAACAGGTACACAGGGCCCAAGTGATGAGTCAGACATGGCCTTGTGCCCCTGGGAGCGTTGCCTTGTTTCTGCAGATGCTCTCTGTCATAAATGGGACCTAGATTTTCTTAGAAGCTACATCACACTATTGTCCCATAGTGAGTTGTCAGGGAACTAAAACCCCAAAGTTACCTTCTACTTCCTTTTTTTTTTTTTTTTAACTTTTGAACTTCTAGAATAAAATTTGCTTTGATCCAATTCAACAAATATTTTACATGAAACCTCTTTCCAGTTTAATGTTCGAACTTTAATGTTCGAAGTATAATGGAAACCTTCACTTTCAACGCATTGATTTCAACTTTTTCATCCTGATAGTTAATATTCTGTCCATTTTACCCATGTATTTTGTTCCTGGGAAGCTTGATTTGACCTGTTATATCTGAATCTGTTTTGTACCTGACTGACTTAATAAATAATCTTAGGTTCTGAGGACCAGTGTCAAGTCCAAGACTTTCTACCATTTGAATCTTCCCCACCAGGCTCATCCTAGAGATGGACAGCTCACTACCTCTGCAGTATTCCACACCATCATACTGTGAACATACKCTGTCAAGACCAGAAAGCCATGGTTGACCCTTTCATTATTTTCAGTCTATTGAGTCAAGGCATAAAATGAATGCAATGCAAGAAAGTCACCTGCCATAATTATTTCTCATWCTTGAACAGGATTCCTTCATCATCTCAGAGTCTTATGGAATCCCCTTCTAGAAGGGATCATTATTCCTGTTCTTCAAGTAAGGAATTGAAGCTCAAAAAAGCTGGGATTTATCCAGGGTCCCCAACCATATGCAAAAAAGTAAGAGYCAAAATTTAGGTCTGCTAACAAGTTCTGGACTCTCTCCACAATAAGCACCATGGGGAAAACCTGGTGGTAATAATACCTCCTCATGTGTGTGTTACAGTGATCAGATCAGTTCTTATGTGGAGATGAGTTTTAAACCATGTCAAATTATAAGTGAATGTCAGTATAACCCATGTTTTTCCAGGTCTTAACTGCCTGTGCACATAAATGAAATGATATCAATCATAAATGAAATGATATCAATAGTAGTAATTCAGATTCTATAGGTTTTTGTCACAGGTTGCTTACACAGGGTCTTGCCCATTGTATTAGTCAGTTTTTCATTGCTGTGACCAAAATACTCAAAAAGAACAACTTAGAGGAAGAAAAGTTTATTTAGGCTCATGGTTTCAGAGTTTCAGTCCATGGTGTGCTAACTCCCTTGCTCTGGGTCAGAGGTAAGGCCCAGAACAATGGAGTTAGCACATCATGGTGGAAGCAGGTGGTRGAGGAGCACTGTTCCATGGTGGCCAGGAAGCAGAGAGATAGAAAGGGGAAGTGGGGAAGAYGGACCCTTCCAGAACATGCTCCCAGACACCTACTTCTTCCAGCYATGTTCCGCCTGCCTACAGTTACCACCCAATTAGTCCGTTCGAACCAGGATGGACTGAGTAGGTTACAGCTCTCATAATCAGTTTACCTTTGAATGTTCTTGCATTAAGSCTGGAGCTTTTGAGAGACACATTATATCTAAATCATAACAGCCATGTAAAGTGTCCTTCAAATATTTCTGGGGATTCCTGAAGATTCTGAGAATTCATATGAGCTTAGAAACAAGGTCACTCCCACATAATTCTTTGCTACTCTCTCTGGCTCTGTGGGTTCCAACAGGCTCACTGCAGCTGGAAGGGAGGAGAACTAGATATTAGTCTGCACGTGTTTAGAAGTAACATCTTACTCTCATTCTGCCTTTGCTTTATGCTCTGATATAGGAGAATGAATCCAAGACTGCTTATGCTTTATGTCTCTTAAGTATTCTCTTGTTAAAATGACTAACTTTTGCCCAACATCTCCTTTCTTTGTAGAGTCCAGACACCAACTGGGATCAGACTGGGAGACAGACTTCAGGCTATTCTCTCCATTTCTCATTCTCTGATCCCAGGAACRTGTGCACTAACTTCTTAGGCATTTAGAAATGAGAGAAAATTTCACAAGGAGATATTTGAATTGGGCTTTAAAAGTAAGGAAATAGAATAATAGGACCAATTAGAGTAAATGGTCTAGGAAAATTTTGCAATGAAAAGTACAATGCAACGCATACAATAACTTTGGTTTGATTTAAGTGTGTGATCTATGGGTAGGAGGTAAATCAGGAAAGGGAGTTTGAGCAAAATTTTGGGGTGGTGGAAAGGGCCAGGAGGACAGATCTTGAACATGTAGAAAGAAGAACATGGACTTTATGTGGTAGGCAATGGTGAGCCATTGAACATTATTTAATAGGGAAGGGGCAGCTGTGGCTTAGGAGAATAAAAAACAACAGCACAGATATTGGATGGGGTTAGACTGAGGAAGGTGGAAATGTCAAAGTGAGATTGGACAGCCAGCTGGAGAACAACTTTTACTTTCCTGCTTTGTATAATGGAAATGACACTAATTTTGCAAGTGTTTGAGTATAGCACAAAATTATAAGACAGTTTTGAGCATGATATCAGGTTTATAGAAGTAGATTTATATGTATAATTATATATTAAATACAATGACACATATTATGAGATTCCTCTTGTGTTCAAAAATTTTTAACCTAATTTTCTACAGACAGGTATAGAGGTAAGAAAGTTACATATATTCACTATCTTAACTAGCTCTCTGTTTATATTTTTGATASTTGTTTTTATTTTAATTTACTTATTAGAAATTTGAAGTTGCTACGAGGTCACTTCTGAATCCAAGTCTCCTTCTGGGTGAGCTCTGACTGCCAAATAGAGATGTTTTGACTAGAAGCATGATTATCACATTAAACCATTTACAGAGATAAAAGAACACATTGGGTAAGGATAGTGATTAAGAAGTCTGTATGCTATAATTAACCAGTATATGAAAATCCAAGTGTATTGCTCCTTCAAAGTCAACAGTGGTGG